AGAGTGTTGACCGTGGAGCCAAGCAGACTAAAGTTGTTAATAATCTCAAACAAGTCTAGGAAAGTCATATTGAAAGACAAGGAACTCACGAAATATGATGGTATGGGATCCATCCAGTGGGGTTCCATGCCATTTTCCATAGGGTCCCTTTGAGTTGGAATTGGCTCAGTGTCCACTAACAATGTACTTCACTTGTAATGATGCTTCTTTTTTTATTATTTTTTTTTCCCCCCGGATCAGGAAAATTGGGTTTAAATTCTTAGAAACTGTGGAACTTGGAACAAGTCTTCCAATTAAGCCTACGTTTCACTTTTAAAATAGGTGCAATGACACGTCTTTATTCCTGGAGTTATCTAGAGAATTAACTACTCAGTATATGACCAGTTTTCTCAGTATTATTATAAGCTACTCATCTAATGTCAATACATTAGGTCTTTTTTTTTTTAACCTTTTCATCAAGCATTTATTAGTATAGATACCCTGACAGGTCTGAAAATATTTTAGTATCACTAAAGTGTGTTTTATTTCATTTAAGTTAAGCTTATGTCTCTTAATTTCTTTGTTTTCAGGGACTTTATTCTGTTCTTTTCCCCTCCCTCGCTGACCTAGACATGTAACTCACTAGATAGCTTTCTTTTTTCCTAATATATTTGTGTAAAAGCTGTCTCTTTATCAGAAATGTTATAGCTGAATTTCAGATGTTAGTATAGCCAACTCAGTGGTCCTATGATCATTCAGCTGATTTTTAAATAAAATACAGTGATGTTTTTTCTAATTGATTGAAAATGTTTTTATGTTTCCAGACATATGTTGGAAGGATCTTTATTCAGCTTCTAATTTTTTATTATAGTCATAGTGTCAGTTTTTAAAAATGTATTGAGCTTTTTTTGTGACTTAGTGTATAGTCAACTTTCAGCAGTATTTCTTACGTGCCTGAAAAAATAGTTTTGTCTAAAATTTTACCTCCATTTCATTCACTTATTCTTAACTTCTTTTTTTCCTATAATTATATTTTATTAAT